TGTAAGTCCTTAAAATTACATTTGTAAATCACCTAAATATGAATTTTTATTGTACCTAGTTTCCCTTTTTTATCTGTTCTATACATTGTAATGTATTCCATGAAAAAACACACACTGTATTTTGTTGAGTAAAATCTATATATATCAACTTGAACTAATAGTTGCAAATTAACTCAGATACTGTTACAGTTTTATTAGGAAAAGAAACATTTGATGTTATGTTATTTGGCTAAAATATTGAGAGGAGCTACATTCAAAACATATTTAATGGAATATTCTATCAAATTCAAGTGAGTTAACCCTCGTTCAGTTGTGAAACAAACATGTCAATATAGACATCCTGTTTAGTAAAATTGCTATTTGCGCCATTTACATATATGAGTCCACCTTCATTTTAGAACCATATAAATAGCACTGCGCAGTTGTAGACACATCCAGCCAACCTGACTGGCACTTGGTGCTGTTGTCTTATGGCATCATGAAATACCACAGTGGTTTTCAAACGGTCATTTTTGCAGACGTTTGCAAAGCTTCTGCAGACGTTTGGTTCAAATTTTGCTTCCTAAATACAGTTTTAATTTTTATTTACAGCTTTTTAAGAAAACAACACACACGCACAGACCCATGTGCTATAGATAGCGCTTTAAATGATGGAGAAGCCAGTGTGCAGACAGGTGTTTACAGAGACCTCAGAATAAAGTTTCTACCACCTACATACATTTGAACTTCCCCTTTTTAAATTTCTTCTGTTTTTAACGTCTTATAAATATGAGATTGATGAAGTGGGTTGTAGCACTAGTCTTTCTTTAAATTGAGGCCTACCCTTCTCTACTTAGGTAAAATTGTACAGGTGAGTTCGCTACTTCCTGTGAGTACTGAATTATTGTCCGTTCAATGCCAGATGAGGCTCTGGTACATCTCTCAGATATGTGATTGCAGTAGTGCAATAATGAGTGAACTTGAATCATGTCACAATAGGTAGTTCTAGCTCTTATAATGAGCTGTAAGTGCATTTATGTTTTAAAATTTATAGTCTCACTCTTAAATGTATAAGAGATACATTGTTATATATTTTGTTATGCTCTGTGAAAGACAGTTTGTCATCCAAAATGTCTAGGAATTTATCCAACAAATACACTCACACCTGTTCTAAATTGAATATGTACAAGGCTTTTCACTTCAGCTTGCAATATGAAGAGATCAGAAACAACCTAGATGCTCTGGTTAAATAAATATGAAAAGTACTACACAGTTAGAAAAAAGGAAGCTCTTTTTACTCTGATATAGTGTCTGATACAGAATTATCTCAAAAGCAAGTTGCAGGACAGGGAGTAGAGCATGTCACCATTTATGTGTGTTTTTGAAGGGATGAGGGAGAATACAGGTTTCAGACATGTATGATTGTATATTTATGGAATACTTCCGGAAAACTTTGCCCTTGGGAAAGAGAACTAGGTGGATAGAGACAGAATTGGGAGGGAAGACTTTTCATTGTAAACTTTTTGCCCTTTTCTACCTTTGGAATTGTGAACCATATATTTACTATTAAGAAGAAAAAACTATTAATTGATAGATGAACATTGTGGGTGGGGGAGCCTCGTTGTTTTTTTATTTATTGACTGTGTAATAAGTAGATATTACAAATTTGAACTCAAACACAACTACTTTATTTTGCACATATGGCAAGTATCAAGTTATTAACCCAAAGAAAGATTAGTTTTCTAATCTCAATATGAGTGGATTCAATGGCTATTTCTATAACTATAAAATTTTATGATTCTAGCTCTGCTATGTCATGCCATCATCCAGTGCAAGATGTGCTCAGTTTCCTCGAGCCCAGGACAAAGTTCATTACTACATTAAGCTGAAAGACTTAAGAGATCAATTGAAAGGCATTGAACGAAACGCAGACATTCAAGAGGTGCAATATACATTTGACCTACAGCTTGCCCAAGGTGTGTCACCGTTATCGATCCTTGTATTTATTTCATGTATATATACATTGCAGAAGGTATGTTGTGGATTTAAAAGCAGGAGAAAAACAATTATATTTCTAGCCAGAGTGCTCTGATAATGGATACTAGTTCACTGTTAAAATATCCTTTTACCAAGGTCATCCATCTACTACAGATGTTGAGGATATAAGAAACATAGTAGCTCACCTAAAATTAAATCTTACAGGCTTTTAATTTAGTATATGTTAATTTAGTATATGAGTTAATTTAGTATATGTTACAAATAGTTTAAAAGATTATAGCAATACAGCTGAAACTAATTCTAAAAAATGTGTATTTCATAATAAAAAATAATTTAATAAAAAAAATAAAAAAAGATTATAGCAAAAGATGTATCTTAGTATATGTGAACATTCGAGAAAAAGATTTCTTTGTCCTGATTTCTGTATAGCGCTGTTTTTAAAATTGTTGTACAAAATCAGTTTTAAATCCCTTTTACCTTCGTCACAGAGGATGCAAAGAAGATGGCTGTTAAGGAAGAAAAATATGATCCGGGTTACGAAGCAGCATATGGCGGGGCTTATGGTGAAAATCTGTGCAATAGTGAACCTTGCAGCTTCTCCTCAAATGGGCTGAGTATGTCCTCCTTCCCCATGTTTGTTCCTTTCAAAGACTTGGTTTGGTCAGGATTGGCAAAAAAAAATTTTTTTAAGTATATTATTGAAAAATGGGAATAGTAATATAAGAATTTATTTAGTGACTTACAGAGAAAATTTGATGGTTATTGAATGTTTAGCTACACAAACGTTCAAAGCTCATTTTCTTTAAGTCCATGACACTAATAAGTCATCCTAGTGGCGTTTTCCTCCCCAAATAACAAATGAAGATTTTTCAGTCCTATATCTGAAAATCAAACAGAAACTTATAATAAAGAAGGCTTGCTTAACTATTTCAATGACAGTTCTCCTTCACCGGACAGCTGAAATCTCCTAATTTGATGATTTAAAACTTCTAAACAGAATAAACTAACATCCTTTTCCCCGCAGCAGCTGACAGTGGAAACGCAACTTTCGGTGATGTTCCAAATGGGCCGTGGATGAGCCAGTCATTTACAGACCAGATTCCTTCCTTTAATAATCTTTGTGGGACGCAAGAACAGATGCAAGGAAACCACGCGTAGGAACCGTGCTTCTCAGCTCTGCTCCAATGCTGCAGTTTTAATGCAGTTGTCAGTTTGCTAACCCAAGAATTTTCTTAGTGTTTTACTCTGGTGACATAATCATAATACAGTTGTGTGGTAGAATCAACTGTATAAACCTATTATAAGTAGTTTAGAAGGAAAAAGGAGGGTTTTCTTGTATATGTGTTTTTGTATTCGAATTAACTGCCATTCCAGCATTTTATAAACGCTCTTTCATTGATGAAGAAATTGATTTTCTTTTGAGAGTCACTTTTAATCTGTAATTTTAAAATGTGACAGTCTGAATATTTATACGTGATTATTAACTGCATAAACTTAGATCCACCATTGTCCCTTTTTTGCCTAAGAAGGGCATGCTAATAATTAGAATTACTGGTAAAGAGGCACATGTGTTGGTTTTCATATGTGAAATTAAGCCTCAGTGGAGCCTCACTTGGTAGTTTTTAGTGGCGTTTGCTGGGCTTCCTGAGTCATATTCATACCCAGACCCCTGCTTTCGCAATGGTGAGCATTTCCGAAAGTTGCTTAGCTGTACAGATGTGGAGTGTGACTATGCAGCAGGGAGACTCCCATGGCCTTACCTGACAGGGCACCGAGCCCAGGCTTTGGCCCCTGCGTGTTAATCCTCTAATAGGCAGAAACGGTTCTGCCAGAATGGTAGGATCCAGAGAATGCAGTAGACCTTTTCAATTTTACTTCATCTGTCTTACTTGAGAGACATACATTTTATAGGGAAGGAACTGAATTTCTGTCTTAGCATCACCCTTCAAATTTTATCCTCCTTGGCTTTAAGGATATAACGTGGCAAGTGTTGAGAAATGAATTTTCAGGCTGAGCAACAAGGTGCTGGAGGTGTTTGATCATGTTATTTAAACTGGTGCTTTATGTACATGAGATGTACTGATATTAGTAATACAGAATTCTTCTCACTAGGGAAAATCTAATAAGCCTGTAATTTAAAAAATCCTTTCTCTGCATCATTGCTGATTGTTACTGTGGACTAAGGAAACCTCATGGTAAGGTTAATTTGAAGTAACGTCCCTTTGATTTTCTAATGCATTTTCCATGGTGCTATGAATAGTCCAGACTACTAGGCCTGGCAGATGTAAAGCTGGGTATTCGGACATGCCATTTGCATTCACTCCTGATCACTTACACCCAAGGAGCATGCTTTTTAATATGGAAATATTTATGAGGTGTGGTGTTGTTTTTTTCCCTAAGAGGTTATATGGCCTATTCTTTTTATAGTAAGAGAAACAAATCCTTGTTGTGAATCTTAACATGCTTTTTAGCTGTGGCTATGATGGATTTCATTTTTCTTTTAGTCTAGGTCAAGCTGTGTAAAGTCATTCATGTTATTTAAATCATGTACTGTACTGCTGTTTACATGGATGTTTTGTGCAGGTGCTTTGAAGTGCCTTGCATCAGGGATTAGGAACAATTGAATTATTTTTTCATGGGACTATGTAAAGCATGTAACTAGGTATTGCTTTGGTATATAATAATTTGTAGCCTTACAATAGAGTTTTTTTTTTTAATTTAAGTGGAGAAAGTACCCTTTAAATTATGATTGACACTCATTAGAGAATGGGTTTGAGGATTTTCCAAGCATAAAACAATGGTGTTTTCATTAAATATGGACAGATGACTAGTAAATGTTGATATATCCTATACATGACAATATGAGACTTTTTCATTAAGTAATATTGAAAAAAATTTTAAATTCCTTTGAAAGTCTGATGGTTTTTACAATAAAAAAATATTATGAATGATTATCCTTAAGTTGCAGGCTTTTCTTTAGCAAGAATGTTATTCTTTCCCCCTTTAAACCTGAGATCGGTTTACCTTCTATTATATTTATCATGTAGAATGTATATATATATATATATATATATATATATATATATATATATAATGAAAATCATTAAAAATCTATGATTTTTATTTTTTCAGACATGTTTTAAATGTAATACAAAAGATTGTCAACCTGTTAAAAAATACCTACATATGAAAAATACATTTAGATATTTAAAACGTTTTTAGATATAATTGTCATTGAGTTAAGCAAATGGATTGCCGAAACCCAGATGGGTTTGTTCTTTCCAACAACGTATTTCACTCACATAATCCTGATTTCCATAATTACCATTGTGCTTAAGGCAGTCAGTCGATACCTGCGTGATCCAAGGTACCATATGCACACAGTAACTTTTGTTTTTTATATTGTGGATCATATGTATCAATGATACTGTTCATAAAGAATGGTGTTATAGTAGGCTACAAATGGACGAGTCCACATTTTTATACAGAAAATATTTAAAATGTCAAGTTGTATCAGCTATTGTGATTGAGTTTAAAGATCCCTGCAGGGTCAGGAACAAACCAGCTTTCCCATAAGTCATTGTGAACACTGGGGAAGTCCCAAGGTTTGTGTCTTCCATTCCAGTGCAGTAATTTTGCTTCTTGCAGAAAATGCTCCGAATATCTGGTATCTGGATTCCAGCCTTCATTGCGTTTAGAGAAAAGTAATAGTCTTGTTAGAAAATAAAATTTTTATATTAAAAATTGAATGCAGGTTCATTATAAAAAAAATAAAAATTAAATCAAAGAGTATGCATTGACATTACCACCCACCCTAAATCTCCAAAATAACCATTGTTAGAGTTTCTCATGAAATCTTTTCAGTGATACTCTACCTGTACACCAGTATTTATGTAAATATGCATGTGTGTATCTTATGTATGTGTGTGTACAGTAAAACCTTGGATTGCGAGTAACGTTTGCGAGGCTTCCACAATATGAGCAAACATTTCTAATACATTTTAATGTGGTAAACAAGCAATGTCTTGCAATACGAGTGGTTTGTTTCCGGAACGATAGGCTCGCAAACCAAGGTATTACTGTATACACATATATGTTTTTATTGTTTGTTCGTTCTTTTGTGTTTTTTTTTTTTTTTAGCTAAGCCATCCTGCCACCTGTTGGCAGCTCAGTGGCAGCTCAGCTCGGGCCACGAATCGAACCGGTGACCCTGTTGCTCAGAGCTCGCTCTTAACCAACTGAACCACTCAGCTGGCCCTCTATATTTTAAAATGTATTTGTAACTTGCCCTTTACAATTACTGTCTTAGGAAACTTTCCACAGTAGTACATGTGGATTTAAGGAAATATTTTTAATGACTACATAGACTGAATACATGATTCTTTATTTAGGGAGTTTCTTATTAAGGACATTCAGGTTGTGTCCCTTCACTAGCATAAACACTGCTATAATGAACAGTCTTCTATGCATGTCTTGTGCATGCACGAGTATACAAATACATCTGTAGGATAAAATCTTGTAAGTGGAATTGCTAGATTGAAGGGTGTGTGCCTTTCACATTTTGATAGGAGATTGCCAGATTGTCCGCAAAAGAACTTGTAATAGTTTCCCTCCAACCCAGCGTTTACGGGAGCTCTTGTTTTTCTACATTTTCCCTCAATATGGCAACATTTTCTTTTAAATGGTCTGATTTTTACCATATGAAATGTGACGAAGAGTAAGACCTACTTTTTAACAAACAGCTATCTCCATTTGAATAGTATCCCCCTCATAAGTAATCACTTAGAGACTGTGTATTTACCCTAATATTGCCGTTGCTCAGAATAGTTTTAGAACATCTCTTCAAGAAGGACAATAAGAACTTGTGAATGTAAATCTTTTTTTAAAATATCCATTATGGTGTTAAATTTTCTTTCTAAGAAAGGGAATTTGACATTTTTAAAAAATAGCTGAAAGTCCATTGAGTAAAGAGATGTTGAATAGCTAGAATTATGTTATTCTAGATTAACATATGATATAAGAAAAAAAACAAACACCAAGAACCTGTCTTCTGTTATTCATAAACATGTCTGTGAAGGCAGTTGCGGAAGAGGAGCTCGGCGTTTCAGGCTATAGTATCATAATTGGAATAATTACCGACTTCCAAAGAATCTATACAAAGGTGATATTAATTTGGGAAGAGACACCTTCATGTGACATGTCTCCACTAAGTAGGACATCTCTCAGCTCCGTGACTGAAGGACTCTGTAGGGGCTTGCACGTTGGCTTTTAGCTAAATAGTTTTCATAACTTTTAAAAATCTTAAGCTTCTATGTTTAGACTCAAACTTAATACCCATTAGTGTTACATTGCTTTCTGCTTTCAGAACACTGTAAAACCGAGTCATTTTTCAAATGATCACTTGTGTTGATTTACTTTGCAGACCATCGCTGATTCCAAAACCTTCAGCACAGAAAATGTTCTTTTCTACAAAGAAAAAGGACTTTCCCCTTTGGAAGATCCTGTGCCTTCCTACTTGTCAATAAATCAGATATTTCATAAGATGTAATTCTGAGTCTCTGTTCAAGATCATAACATGCTCTAACATTATCGATCCAAGCTCCGCATAGCTGTGCCTACACTACATTTTTTTTTAAATTTTTATTGGGGTATTGGGGGGATGGGAACAGTGAAGGGGAATTGGGGGAAGGGGAACAGACAAGTTGCTGTCCTTTTGTTCTTCAGTCTAGTTGTGGAGGATGTTGCTTCACTGGCCCAAGTTGGCACCATCATT